TCTAACATCGTACCGCATATTGTCACTATAAGAGCTAAAATTAAGCATATATGTATATTGCTATGACACGTATTCGACCTAATTGCATTCTGAGATACGGATATAAAAACGTCGTAGATTGTAAAGGCAAACGAACAAGAGACCACTTTGATTTGTTTAAATAGCGATGCAACCGTTGTCCATAGACATCTTCAAAAAACTGAAACAAACAAAACAAATTTAAATGGAACGAGGGGACGTAAATAAAGAGGGAATTTTCACTTCTATATGTTCTCTGTCGAGTCTTATCTCCGCTACCATCATTATAAGATATCAGTAGGAAGGGCAAGGCTAGGGAACTAGAATTTGGCTTGCAACTTCTTTTTGTAGTGAAACCCCAGCATTGTTGCTACGTGCAAGCTATTCAGGATATTTATTCATAGATGATATTAGAACTTTCCCCACAAACTCCTTATCTTATCGAGGATTCGTTTTTCTTAGAATTTATTTACGTATGTTTACGCTGTTACTGTTATCTTCAAGATATCTTATAAACAGCCTGAAAATATAAAGATTCTTTCTTGTGCTTATTTCGCGCGACGAACACTTTCTTCTACCACCAGAGGGCCTTAGCAGGATTTGCGAGAAAGTATTCTTAAGTTGTCGACATTTGTATTATATTTGTACAGCGTCCCCTGTCGGGCGTAAAATACAGCGACATTATCGGTGACGTTACGAAAACGCATCATCGAATTGCATCGCAAATATTTGTAATAGACCCTCAGGCTTTACACAAAAATGATTAACAATACGTATATTAAGACTAAAACTTTCATAATTTAAAGCTGTATCTATATACTATTTATTAATTTTAACTTAATCACAAAGCGTCAGGACTGCTGTACACAGTCGGCAGCAGTCGCGGTAGAATTTTTTAGAGGTGACAGCACGCTGCGGTCAACTGTTGCCGATTATTTGAGTAGTCCATGAAAGTTAGCACTTATCAAGTATGTTATAATTGGAATTATTAAAAAGGTATATTACATTTGCAGTGTGCAGTGTGCAATGGTCTTTAGAACCGCACTCAAGGCCGGGAACCTTGGTGAATAATATTTAACAACATTTATGTAATCGACGATAACAGACTCTTTAGAAAGTCAAGATCTGTATTAATTAAATAACTTCGTACTTTTTGTTATTTAATAACTTTTCCTTATTTTTTTTATAATCCTTTGCTAAAATGTTACGTAAAAAAATATTTATATGACAGATAAAATATGACATCTTTATAAAGATTTACGATTATTTATTTTTTTGTCGTGCGTGATGTTTTACCAACTTTATAAACCCTCTGATAACATGTGGTGAGGTGTTAGACCTCAGCCGTATCTAAGGTACGCGTATTTAGTACAAAGTAATACTAAAAATTTCAGAATATTAGTTTCAGAATTTTCAGATTAGTAACTAAGTTAAGGGTGATTAGGCCGTAGTCAAACACGCTGGCCAAGTGCGGGTTGGTTGACTTCACACATATCTTAGAATATTTTCTCAGATATGTGCAGGTTGCATCACGATGTTTTCCTTCACCGTAAGAATTTCGGACTACATATGTAAATCGGAAATCGAAAAACACATTGGTACATGGCGGGATTCGAACCCAGGCCTCGTGCTTGACCACTGAGCCACCGAGGCTCTTTACTACCACTGATTACCTCAACATTATTCTCACAGGAAGACCTAGATGTAACGTGGCCGATATGAAGCTGGAAGTGGCCATTTAATGATAGTTAAGGAAGTTATGATTAAAAAAGCTAAATTGATTCAATCGATGATTACTAAGACGTGGGCGAGTCGCACACCGTCTTCTAGTTCTTCGACCTTTGTTTTAATATGATTGCTCAATAACTTTTAATCTATGTTTGCGCAAACGGATAAAAGTGAAAGACACAAAGTTATTTGCGGAGAAGTGCGTAAAGCAACTTTCAATGAAAAATTCATAATTGTTTGCCATTGGGCCGATCAGCCCACCGTTCTTTTAATTCTGATGTTTTTCCTATTGGACCGAAGGAATTCAAAGAATCATCATCAGCATCTCCTCACTATACGTCTCCACTGAGAGCGTCGGAGGTTACTCTTAGCTAGGGGCGACTAGGCCATAGTCAACCACGCTGGCCCAGGGTGAGTGGGTTGACTTCATACGTATCTTTAAATTTCTTCACCAATATATGCAGTTTGCATGACGATGTTTCCTTAACTGTAAGAACCTCAGATAAATGTACATATGTATCTAAAATAAATCAAAATCGCGAAAAATCGGGATCGGGAATAATACTCTTATGAATTATGGTCGAAGTTTGAACAATAAACGACCACTAATTATATTAATTACTCATATTATTAGAGTTATTTGCTTCATATGTCAGTAAATAGGTGCATTAGCTTTATTTTATTGTCTTGTTATGATAATTTGTGAAGAAAATAACAAACATGTGCATTTATTTTACAATACACATCATCGTGATAACTTATTAACCAGACTTCTTTTACAATATAATAACGTCAATAGCCTATTAATAACAATAAGAAAATAAGGTCATAGGTTCCACGGCTGGTCGAAAGTTCACTAGAGTAGTCGTTAATTTAATGTTATGCCGGAAATTGCTTTTAATAAATTTTTACTTTCACTATAATTAGCGCCATCTTTTGACAAAGAATGACATATTTAAGAATTCGCGGTTTGTAAGTAAAATCTATTGTAGTTTTGTTTCAGTTTAATAGTCTTACTAATATTATAATATTTAGATGAATGTATGGATGGATAGATGGCTGTCTGTGTAAAGGTATCTCCGGAAAGGCTCAACGGATCTTGATGGGATTTTGCACAAATGTAGAACATAGTCTGCAAGAACACATAGGCTACGTCATTATTATTTTTTTTAATTCCGCGCGGACGGAGTCGCTGGCGTCAGCTAGTAAGCAAATATTTATTCAATTATTCTACAAGAATAATTATTTAATGTTTATTTAAAGTGCGCCTAAAATTACAGATTTGGTGAACCGCGTTTTGAACATTTGTTGCTATGAAAATTACACAGGCGTTAATTAATTCACGAATGAAACCAAATTCTCCATCTTCATTTTAAATCATCATTGATTTGTTTCTTCTTTATTCCTAGTTCTACCTCTCCATGCTTTCTTTCTTTTAGGTATCACACGTAGTTTGACCCACATAAGTACTCTGTTTAATTTGAAAATCGAACACGGAACTCGCGATATGGCAGCAAGCACCACTAGCGCTAATCCATAAAGGCTAACATAATAAACACAAGGTGACGCGACGTAACGTGCCATGTTATATGAGATTTTTGATCTTCATACGACTGACCGTCAAGAAGCTGAAATAATTCTATAAATAAATCATCTTTGTGTGGTTTATTTACAGAATTGCTTTGTTTAAAACAAAAAAAACTAATTATTATTTACATAAAAGATAAAGACCTGCCACAACTTTTAGACTGGGACTCCGTAATATAAGTTAATATATTCGTCGTGTAACAAACAATCTAAAATACTTCTCTACATAATACAACACATCTTTTTTAGGGTTTTGTACCTCGAAAGAAAAAAAATGGAACCCTTATAGGGTTATTTTGTTGTCCGTCCATCTGTCTGCCAAGTTCATTTGTACATCTAATCATCATCATCTTACTAAATATTATTAGAAGGTATCTCCAGAATACCTGCATGGATCTCTCTGAAATTTGGCGTAGTTTTAGAATATAGTGTGGAAGAACAAACAGGGTACCAATTAGGTTATTTTTTATCCGGCGGACGGAGTTTCGTGCGACAGCTAGTCTCTGTATAAAATCTTAAGATCATATAAGAAAATGACCTACAGTATCAGCTATGGTGTAGTCATGTCATCTATTAAACTTGATATGAAAAGTTTGCCAATGCATGGTCAGACGGCGTGCCGACATTATATAGCAGAATTGGCCCTACACCAAAGGTCACATTTTATGTGAATACTTACAAGTTTTAATAGATTAGTTGGTAGTCATCGCAAATAAGGTAAATTCATTACAAATATGTCTAAAATCATTCCTTTTTATGTTACTGGATGAATCTGAGATTATGAAAGTATAATTTATGATAGCTTATAATCATCACATAGAATTGAACTTCGAACTTGTATAACTATCAAGAGATTGTTTAGTGAAAAGCCCTTACGTCGTCATTGTTTACGTATCCGATTTGGCCGCGAGTTGGCAATTTCGTTCCTATTTGGCAAACCGCCACATCTAAAATAATAACGCTTGTTAATATCGCTTGAAGCAAATACAATGAATCTTTTCATTAAATAGACATATCTAATGTGTTTTAAAACTGAGCAATGTATGTCGAACTATGCTGAAGATTATGATGTACGTTATATGGACGTTGATGGAATGAATGTCGCGAGTACACGCTTTTCCGATTGTAAATATGACACACGCACTGGACAAGGGAAACGCTAACGCTAACAGTATTAAGAAATGATAAATCGAGAAATATATAATTTTATAATAAAGTATTTACTAGAGACAGAAACTTCTTATATGCAGATTTGGTGAATATTTTGATATAATAAAAAAAGAAAATCTTCTTTAGCAATCGTTTTATTAGATAGATATAAACTTTATTGAACTACAAAACTACCCAAAGCTTTGAGGTATAAAATATTTTCATTTTTATAACAAATTAACCTTATCTATACTAATATTATATTAGATAGATAAGGTTAATTTAAGATTTGTATTTTTGTATGTAAGGAACAAACTCAAAAACTACTGGACCGATTTACTATATACGATACGCTATATTTATTACTAGATTTTTAATTCGCGCGGAAAAAGTCACGGGCAATAGCTAGTTACTAAGTACGTAAGCGTTTTCACGTCGCGTTTATTTAGTTCAGTGTGCGCTGACTCGAACGTGACTTTGAAATTGCAGCATTCAGCTTTATTCAGTGTTACTGCGTACATCGCGCGTGCGGGCGCGCTTGACACCATGGTGTGCGAGACCAAAGAGACTGAAGACCAGCTGCCGTTCGACGAGACCTTGGAAAAGACCGGTACTCATCTTACGTTAAAAGTGATAGTTTCATATTCTAGAATAATCAGGTCTTTGTGTCAGTTGAAATGTCTTTATTGAATGTTATTGTTTTGAATTTGGATACTGAACGGATTTTCCTGCATTTCCCTTGTTCACAATGGGAATATGATGACGAGGTATCAAATACATTGTTGCCAATAGCTATAGAGTTGTGCTTTCGTTCTTCCTATATCCATCCTAAACAATCTAGTATGTTGATTCATTGGACAGTTTTTCAAAATTTATTTTTCGTAGATTCCAAAAAAACGATACAAATTGCCAACATGGTATTTGTTTACAAATAAAATGAAAGAAGATGAGAGATTCATCCGTTTATTTTTTACATACTAGCTGTCGTCTGCGACTCCGTCTTTCCTATAGCTTCACGAATATTTCAAGACCAAGATAAGATAAATCCGTTCAGCCGTTCTCGAGTTTTAGCTAGACTAACGAAGTGCAATTGATTTTTATATATATAGATGAATGAATATACATAAATAATAAATTGTTAGCTATTTGAAATATATGTTTATTGTATAACGACATTGATCACTTAAATAATGGATCTCTAGTAGTATTTCAATTATTTTAGTTATTGTGCGAACAATGAAGCGTTAATTGGGAAGTAAAAATAATTATAAATTAAACTGTAACACTTTCTTTCATTGATTAAAACCTTTGTTCGATTTTAAAATTAAATTAATTTGTTTGTTTTCACTCCACTTCATACCTGTTCAAACACAATGACGTTGAGTTTCCACTAACAAAACAGGTAGACAGAAACATAGTTCTTTATTTTTAGTAAAAGATGTGACACATCGTATCATGTTATCGTTAAGTTCACAGTTTTCCGACTTATAAAACTTGTTAATTATCAACCAGTTTCACAAAGCTTTGTTGAAAATCTTACTAATATAATAAAATGTAAAAGTGTAGATGGATTTTAGCATAGATGTAGAACATAGCCTGGAAGAACACGTAGGCTACTAATTAAGTTTTTCTTAATTCCTCGCGGACGGTGTCGCGGGTCACAGGTAGTCAGGATATATTTTCTTTGGCGTTTATATTTTAGCAGTCAATCCATTGTATTACAATAGACAATCTATCTATCTATTACTATTGAAGAATTGTCTTTGAGTATTAGTACTTGTGGTTTGATTATGAAACGTTCATTTTACAGTATGTTCTACAGCCGAAACTCTTGTAGAAAATCTTGTCGTCCCGTTCATTCTCTTTGAAAAAAACAGAGACAACGATATGTTTCACTTGACTTTCACAGTGAATTGAATTCTTTAACGAGCATTCTATAGCGATATAGACGACTGTATAGTACGAGTCGTAATATTTTACTGCGATTTAAACAATTTCGACAATTATTTTCTATGTATGCATCAAGTAAATTGTTTTAAACATTTAAATCATTTTTTTTTCTAAAATATTAGAAGATTTTTTTGTAAATTTACTAATATTTCTTTAACAATTCCAACTAAGCTCCAGGCTTGTGCTAGGATATGGTTTACGACAATAGTCGAATAGCGGGATTCGAACTCCCGACCACGTGGTCGGAAATCCGTATCCTTAACCTTTAGGATATTGATGCTTTTTAATTTTGGTAAACAACTTTTTTTTCTTAGGCTGTTGCACGTTACATTCCAACCCTTATTTTATTGAGTTTATCGATGAAATTTGGCCTACATGTAGAACATATATGCTACTATTTTTTTCCGTGCGGACGGCGTCGCGTGTGTCGGCTAGTATTTAATAAAATCTTTAGCTTTTCCATTAATATTCTTAAACCGTTGACAAGCCCTTGTGAACAAAGTGCGGACCATTTTTGTAAATACGATAATTAAATTAGCACAATGTAAATGAATATTTGAGGGCTAGACGGTTGGTTGGTTCACCTGGTTCCTTCTTCCTTGTTTATTATTATTGATAATATCAAAGAATGCGACTTACAATTTTTCTAGAAAATAAGAACTATCACTCGAATAGAATATTAGATTGTTATTATTTATTTTTCACCTGTACCTGGTTAATTGTGATTTCTGTTGGCAGGCAATGGTATCTACAATATTTTGCTTGCTGCGACGTGCGCGCTGTCGCTATTGGCTATCGGCGCGGACCTGTTCGGCTTCAGCCTGGTTGTTGCAGCCGCGTGTGACTTGCATCTCACAGTCGCTCAGAAAGGAATCCTCACCTCCACGCCTTTTATTGGTATGTACTTGATGAGGAATGATAGTAAGTTCTGCTCATACGTGCTGTTTTTAATCTGTGTCCGATCGTTTGCTAGTTTTCTTTTTCTAAATTATATCAGCTAGCATTTCACACTTTAAAGTGTTAAGCACCCTGTGCAATCAATATTAGATGAACTTTCTTGCTTTAACTTTCATAAAAATACATAACAGTACTCGGCATTTGACATGGCACGTCGAAAACACTAGCACTGTTTTACTCGACGTGCCAACTAGCTTCCGGGTACTATATTGTCTTTCTCTCGTTGTACTGATTATGTTACTTCCAGGTATCCTCCTGGTATCTTACATCTGGGGCTACGTGTCGGACACACGAGGGCGGCGCGTTACGCTACTCCTCTCTCTGACCTTCGGCTTTCTCCTGTCCAGCATCTGCAGCCTCTCCACAGACTGGATCTCACTGGGTGTCCTCAAGTTCTTGTCTGTTTGCTTGTGAGTTTAATAAATTAAAGTACTATTAGGGTCTTACAAAAACACGGAATTTTATGTTTTAGTAGGTAAATATTTCGCTGTGGAATTTGACAGTTATACTCAGAAAGAAGAAAACAATGTAAGACTTCCTTTAAAAAAGAATTCAATAATCTAGAACAATTAACTCAAGGTCTCTAATGTTGATAATGTCGAAAACAAAAACAAAACCATTGTCCTTACGACACTACGGCTGGGCTTATTGACACAAGGAATGTAAGGGCTGCTACACACGATGGCTGAAATTCAGATCTGATTTTACACTTTTTAAGTGACACTTGGATTCAGTGCGCGCTATAAAATATTGTGCAGAATAATGTTATCATTAGCTGTGATTGTGAGAGGAAAAAAATGGATTATTGCATTACCAACGATGAGTTCATTATACGTCATTTTTTTTTGTAACAAAAAATCCTCATCAATCTTGAGTTTTTTACAATACGTACTGGCAAACATTTTGAAAAATCAAAAAAATAATTTTAATGATACCTTTGCTGCAAGCAATTACATCCTGAAACACTGCAACATATAATCGATCGTGTGTAGCAGTCCTTAGGGACAGTTTATTTTCATTAAACTCGTTACGACAATGTATGAAGACGAGGACAGTCTAGTATTTTTCCTTTCTTTAATTAATTCAATACTTTTTAATTGTCTTCCGGGATTCCGTTACACAATGTAATTTTTGCTCTGTTTGTTAGTCTTACTGTTACCTTAGAATTTACCATCATCAGCCCATAAAAGTCCTCACTGTGGGTGCTACAGCCTATCCTTGGAAGACTAGGTATACAATCACACTGGCTGGCTGGCAGATTATTTGACTTTACAAACAATTCTGAACAGTTATTGATATCACGATATTTTCCTTCGACATAGGAACATTTAAAAGCACGTTGGTACATAATGATCGAACCAGGACTTGTAGAAGTCAAGAAAGCTTAAAACCGCGCCATCGAAGCTCTTGGAGAATTTCTTAATAATTTCATACAGTTTACTTCAAAATTTCCGTTATTATGCATAATATAATGATATCGTTCTAGTTATAATTTATGTTATACTTAATATTTACGTTATAGAGTATCTCGTTACTTTATTAGACTTAAAAGATGTTTTGTTCCAGAAAGAAATCAAATATTAACACCTTTAATAATCCACGTGTTGAAACTGCGACAATATTTGTCCCCATATTATGCAAAACCATAGAAAATGAGTAAACACGAGAAAACTTGTTTCCATAAAGTTATTCATGACTAACTTTAACATAGTTAACTATTAGCAAAATCATAAAAGTGTCTTGTTAACAAGACTTGTTATACAATACTGTAGTTGTCAACAACATTAATTATTCAAAGTTAAGCAAAAAAGAGACAGATTAGTAGTTAGTTTTACTAAATTTTCGTTTTAAAAAAGTTCCGTTACATACTTTGGATTCTAGGAAATCATACCTAAAGATTAATTTTTCGAAAATGAATCTGTAAAAACAGTGGTGCTCACTTAGATTTAGAATTTCGATATTTCCACACGTGATTTGTTACTTGATCTTGTTTTCTATTATGATATTTATTGTGCTTTTATGATATGTGTTTATATGTTTAATTTCAGTTCGTGTGCAGCAAACTCAGTATCCTACACATTGGTGGGCGAGTCGTGCGTGAGAAGAGTTCGCAACAAATACATGGTCATGATGACGTGTTTCATTCTCTTTTCACCCGCGTTTGCAGCCCGTGAGTTTAACAACATGTTTGAACAAAACTTATTGTCACATACACGTACTCAACAAGGAGCTGGAGCATGCCCTAACTTAGGAATAAAAAGGCCTTAAATACGCTGGCTCAGTGCGGGTTGGTTCGTTCTTCGATTGGAGAACGTTTGTACAGTATGACATTCGAAAGACTAAAACAATTTTGTTATCTATTACAAATTTGGTGCTTAACCACTAAGCCACTAATTTCATAAATTAATTTAGATTTTTTTTTTGCAGTTTTAACATATCCAATATTGAAGCTTGACTTCCAAGCGCCCATATATTGGCTGGGCATCGTCTTCCGACCCTGGCGGCTGCTGAATATTATCCTAGCGCTACCTTCAGGCCTAGGGGCGCTGGCCATGTACTTCTTCCATGAGTCCCCCAAGTTCCTCGCCAATTGCGGCAGGAGAGAGGAGGCTTTGGAGGTTATGAGATCCATCTATGCCGTTAATCACTCGTGTAGTAAAGAAGAGTTTGGGGTGAGTTAATTTTTATTATTTTATTTATGTTAAGTATTATATTACCTACTTTAAATGTAATCATTTTATTTGTAGTAATATTTACAACTCCGATCGGTTTTTTTTATATTAACAAAGAAATGTGACGAAATGCTATCATTCTCAGAGTCGGTCGTTAGGGGGTCCTGTAGTGTAGATTTAACAAGAAAAATCTACACAAAGGATCTCTCTTAAGGACACTAGATACGGCACTAAGTATTTACTCTTGCTAATTTTTTTCCCCAGGAGTTAAGTTTTACATAAACAAGCTACAGTCCGAATTTGGACGGAATGGATTGATGACTACATTTTGTTAATTTTGCGATGACTATTTATCTATAATTTCAGATCACATCTTTCACAATGATAGAGAGTGCAAAGAAGGAGCAATCGTTGTTCCGAGCGATGTATGAACAGAGCGCGCCTCTGTTCCGACCTCCGTACTTGTGGAGGACGTTGCAATTGTATTTCATTGTTGCTGTTGTATTTATTACGTAAGTTGAGTCTCTTTCTATTCATTACGTACTAGCTGTGGCCTGCGACTCCGTCCATGCAGAATTAAAAAAAAACTCAGTAGCCTATGTTTCCAGAGTATGTTCTACATCTATGCTCATCATCGTGATCCGTTCAGTCGTTCTGGAGATACCTTCAAACAAATATCCATCCATCCATTCATCCATCCAAACTTGTATTTATAATATTAGTAAGATTTTACATCACTCCTCATAGCATTATCATATCTTTATAACCTACACTTTAAAATGAATGCTAGTAAGGTTTACTTGGTACGTTTTGAGTATTTAAATAGGTAGAAGTAGTTTAGTTCGTGAGTCGTATTTACAATTTTAAATTGTATATTTCGCGATAGTTTCACGATTAGTTTCCCGTATTTTTTTGGGTTATACGTCATAGCAAAAAAAACCAGAACCCTTTAAGGATCACTTTGTTGTCGGTCCGTCTGTCTGGCAAGACCCTTTTTTATTTCCTATAACTACTGTTTGTAATTATGTTATTTCAAGTTGGTACGCACATATGTTAACAGCATTAAATGTTTTAATTGATGTAAATACATGCACTTTTATTAATAATTGACTTAATAAGTATAAAATTATATGAAATTACGTAATTTCCAGCGCATCTGCATCTTGTTTTTGTATATTAATCTTTATTATCCACATCGCAACTATAAATTGCGTGTATCATGATTTTTTACGATCGAAAAACTTGATTTTTCCCTTAAAAATTAAAACGTCTGTGTCTGGTAAAAAAAACATATAGCATACATGATAACAAAAGAAATTGTCCGTCTGTTTGTCTTTTTGACCGCGTTCAGGCTAATCTCCGAAACGGCTGGACCGAAGTTGATAGAACTTGAAGTTGAAGGTAGCCGATGATGTATGCAGGAGTAAATAAGTTCTTTTTTATTCCGTGTTGACGCAATCGCGCGCAATTGCAACAGTAAAAGTCGAACTATTTGCATTCCGAGTATCAAATGATGTTTACCGAAATGGGTAGGAAATATATATCCTTGACTGGTACATATGAAGGTATATTTATTTTCAGAAACAACAGCTTCCTCGTGTGGCTGCCTCACATACTGAACCTCATCAGGATATCTCTGCAAAGTAATACTGCATCGGGCAACGTATGCGACCTCATATCTGCCGACAAGCCTCTGCTTAATAGCACTGCTAATGGAACTAACACTGATTTTAGTAAAATTGTAAGTTCATAAACTATTAAAGGACCATTTTAACAACGATACAAATTTTCCTTAAGCGTGTTTGTGCTTTTCCATAGAAAAAACGGTCGCGTGTGGATAGAGTAGACTAGTCGTTTACTAAGTGATTTAGAGTGGGCATAGCATTGTGTATTGCCAAACGTACCATCAGGATCCGTCCTAGTCTCCTTATTGGATTTTTAATCTCATCTACAACGTATAATCTTTGATTTAATTTATTATTTTCTAGCTGTCGCCCGCGACTCCGTCGGCCTAATTGAAAAATCTAAATGTGTAGCCTGTGTTCTTTCAGACTATGTTCTACACCTGTGTCAAATTTAATTAAGATCTGTCGAACCGTTCCGGAGACATCTTCTAACGAACATCAATTCATCTAAACATTCGCATTTATAATATTAGTAGGATGTACATTATTTATTAATATTTTCCAGTCGCCAGACACATGTGTTGGGACAATTGAAGAGAACGTGATCATTACTCTAATGATATCCCAAACTGTATTCGCATTTCTCAACTTCGTGATATCATATCTACCAAACCACAGACGGAAACTGATGATAGGCATCCTTTGTCTGTCAAGTCTGAGTGGGTTCAGCGTGAGTGTGGTGCCCGAACCCATATCCAGTGTGGTTCTGTTCATGGTGTTCACATCTACCTGCCTCGGTATGGGCATCTTGGCATCTTACTTCGTTGACCAATATCCTACCACTTACAGGTAATTAATTTCTTGAAGTAAATGTGACAAGCATGAGATTCAAATACCAATAAGTTGTTATAGACATTATTAGTTAGAATCCTTTGACGCAAATGGCGTTATTTCGTTACCAAGTCAAGTGTCATAGTGAGGGGACATAAACGTCGACATTTTAGTAAGACTAGTGTTGCGCTAGTACACTGGCACCGTGTCGGATTTTCTTTCTAACAGTAGTATTAGATTATTAGTTTGTATTAAACAAATTCGTATGTTCCCATTGCTGTAACATTATTTGAAACATAATATGTGTTCCCTCTTACAAGGTCGTCCAATTCCGTGATGTTTTAACCAACATTTTGAATACCACTCTGTGGTGAGATTTTAAGCTACTCATAAAACATAAAACCACACATTTTTAGTACAAAATATAATAGTATTGATTTATTTATAATATAAAAATGTTAAGTATAATAAAATAATACGTGATATTTTATCTTAAATATTTCAGAGGCATGGTATCCAGTCTTAGTATCATGGTGGGTCGGAGCAGTTCCTTTGTGGGTATCAACCTGGTGGGTAACGTCATCTTCCACCACTGCCGTGTCACCTTCAACGTGTGGTCGGTGCTTGTTCTATGTTAGTATAGACATCTCTTTGTTTTAAACAAACTAAATGCTGCTGACTTGCCCCACGAGTCGACTAATAAATACTTACTTGAAAATCTAGTCTTAGTGATATAATATTTATTAAAGTAAGAGTTTTTACTTTAAAGTTTAAATTTCAAGTGATTTTTTTATTAAATTACATTTGTCATTTCTAATACACAATATTTTTAGGGTTCCGTACCTTGAAAGGAAAAAAACGAAACCCTTATTTTATAATAAATCCTTTCAAACTTTTGTCTTCCAGGCAGTGTTATAGCGGCGTGGTTCCTACCACCCGATAAGCCTTTGGAAACCGCTGAGAAACCGACCAAGCTGTAGATTTAACTTTAAAAATTTATCTGTGATTTATTAATATTAATAAATAAGACTATTATACAAATATATGGCCTTTATTTATACATCTTTATGACACTAATTTTAATCAATAATAAAAATATATAAAATTCTCTTGATCAACAAACTATCGTAGTATAAATTTAAATCGAAATCGTAGGTATTATAAGACATTGTTTATGTAATTTTATACAAAATATAAGTAAAGCGATGTATAAATGTTCAATTCTGTGTACAAATATTATATATAAATAAAGTTTCTTAAATATTCTTTGTATAAAACATACTATTCGCTATCAGACATCGAAATTTTTCTAGTTTTAATAAACATTTTAAATACATTCGAATATTTAGCAATTGTAACGTTTTATTTAGAAGTTAATTAAAATATACTTACGTTTTAATTAACACTAATAACAGTACAAACTAAGGATATGTCTAAGAGTTCTTTAAGAGATCACAGAAGGCTTTTTCGCCCAGCGCGAACTTAAAATTGGCCTAAAAATATAAGAACTTTAGTATATAAATAATAATTATTCTAGAAAATTTTAAGTTTTCATTTAAAATAATCTGAAACCATCATGTATTTCTTTTGTATGTCTTCAAATAAATGGTCAAATCAATATGCATCACTAAAATCTTTAGTCTATCTTGATTAATTATACCACACTGCAACGCCTAAGTTGAAACGACACAAGCCCTTTACAAAGTCAATCTTAGCATTGTGTCGTCACTTTCATTTTCTTTAAAAACACCGAGACAACAAAAGTTTATTTGTTTATTAAAGTAGTTTTTTTTACAGTTAAGACAACACTTTCTTACGTTACAACTGATATTTTAGGTTATTTAATGTTTTAAATAATATCATTGTCAACTTTGTCACATCACTACAAATCTTCACTTGTAGTCCCTATCTCCTACTACATATGAGTGGAGATGTATCTGTCTAGTCCGGTGTACTTCTCATTCTCTGGTTCAGTCTTCTCTTCTACCGTTTCATTATTATTTTGTTCATCCAGTTTTATCATCATAATCGCACCAATTGAAACTGTTAAAAACATATTATTTAGTTAATTACGTTTAACAGATACATTGAAAAGCAATCTCTAAAATAATTCAAACTATTAATATTTTACTAACTTGTTAATAAACCGGCTACGGAGACGAAGGGCGCGGGACAGGAGTAGTCCAACAGGACTCCTACCGCCAAGTTGGATACCACGCCACCAGCACGGCCCCACCACGCGCCCCAGCACACACCCAGTCCACTGGATAAAAATAATCACATTGATTAAATCTTTTGCAGATATAATATGGAAATCTATGCTAAAGGCCATCTTGAGTAACCATTAAATCACTGATTCTAGTCTATAAATCTAGCTATTATGCCTGCCTCACCTCAATTTAGCTGGCAGCGCGTGCAGGAGTAGTCTGATCAGTAGTACATTGCCGTTCAGCGAGGCAGCATTCAGCGCTGCAGCCGCTGCAACCGCCACCTTACTAGAGGTCGCACAAGAGCAAGCGCAAGCCGCAAGACACGCGCAAGCTAGGGCGCAAGCCAGCGCGCAAGCCGCGGCTGCCCGCTGTACTCCGCGCGCTCCCCCTCGTCCACTCAGTACCGCGCATGCTGCATTGCCGAGCACGCAACACACACCCACTATCAATCCAGACGTGAACACCTGAGAATAAAATAGCAACTTTAAACACAAATTGACAGTTATGATGTCATATGCTGATAAGCGGTTATTTGTAAGCGTCAATGTCGCTTAAGTCTTTTCTACAGTGTGGTGGTTTAATTTGAAAACTCGGGATTTTTTTCTCATTCTATTACATTTGTCCTTAAATTTTAAAGTATTTTCGGCTTTGAAGTGTACTTACAGCGCTATCAATGTTCCCATCACACCTAACACTACTTCCTACTGCCTCATGCGCGTTAAAAAGTGTTCCATTAAACTTGTCTATTTCTAAACTGTCGTCATGAACTTTAGATAATTCTTTCCACGCGACGTTGCTGGCATTGAATAGCTTTGCGGTTTCAGGTATGCTACGCGCATATGCGCATTCCTTGCCTTGCATGCGGAGCAGGAGTTCTGGGATCCAGAGGTTTAAGCCGAAACCGCTAGAAAAAAAATCGTCAATTATTACAATAAACCAAAATTAACGAATATGAACTCAATGTGGTTTGGGAAAAATTTAGAGGATTATAATTATTTAATTTTCTATTAAACCTTCAAATAATATCCATAATTTTTCTCGTTATAGTAGTATACTAATTCGAACGAATAAAGAGAAATACTTACGCAGCCATATTCGCGAAGAAGACAAAAAGAATCAGTGTTGATTTCAAAGCGTACGTTTTAGACACAAACATCTTCAAATCCTTCAACACACCGATGAATAAAATCTTCGTTCTGTTCTCTTCTCCATTAACAGACTTTGCCACGAATATATTATCGGGTATTAACTTCTTTACCTACGAGTCCATTAAAGTTTAAATATGGATTAATATACTAAGATATATTTTGGTAATTTTGTTGCTACTAATTGCATGAAAATACTTTTTCTTCTTGCTACATCTACCTCAAAAATAGGACTTTTCCACAGTTGGATTTAACACTTTTAATACTTTTTGCCTTTAGGTTCCGGGGAATCAAATTTTTGGAGTACTCTTTTGTAAATAATTAAGTAACTGGTATAATTAATTGGTAGATAGAAAACTTATAAATTACCTCACCTTAAATTCTCCTGCGAATCCCATATTGCATCTATGTATTTTAGTCAATAGCTTCAGCGCCATCTCACTCCTGTTGGTATCACAGAGCAGTCGAGGACTCTCCGGTAGCAGCAGCACCCACATGCCGGCCAGGAAGCCCGGGATGCTGCCCAGCGCCAAGTACAGCCGCCAGGAATGTATAGGCAACTGGGAGTGGCTCTCCAATTTGAATGGTATCACCAACCACGCTACAGCTGTAAATGACCAAATTTTTAACTATAAAAAAATCACAGATTGATTGTATACCTTTTTTGTATCAGGAGATAAATTTTTCTAACGATAGCCAGCTTTATGTGGGGAACACAGGGTTATGTGAAACTAAAAACCCCTCGATAACCATGAAATGAGTCCAGGGATCTCCAAAAGAACGGACTAGGTCTGGACAGAATGTACCAGGTAAAAATACGAATGGGAAGTGTCCTCATCAATTCGTTCGGTCTTTGAGTCTACAATAAATTGATATTTACCGGGTAGTATAAGCCAGGCGGCCACAAAGCTCATTCCTGTTATGTTCAAGTACAGCTGGCGACGCTTCATGCCCACCAGGTCTGATAAGTACGTAAACACGATTGTTGACGGCCCACCTGAAAGTAGTTAAAGAAATTATTTAATAACATTAACACTAGTTACTAAATGTTTACAGTAATATTTAGGACAACGAGGTTTGAAAAAAGTTTGGGTACTAAACTAATAATTCATTCTGAGGAAGCATTGGATGGATCATAGAACTACACTCTAACAATGTGTAATAGCAATAAAACACTAACCAATTAAGAAACCATTAACAGTCCTCGCTGCGAGCAGTATACGGTAGTCTGATACGGTGCTCTGAGCCAGCAGTATTACAGAGTCGATGAGGAGAGTAGCGCTAAGGATCGTCCGTCTGCCAAAGACATCCGCAACTATGCCCCAGAAGAAAGCGCTGGCAACGCCACCTGGAATGAGAATTAAAACAGAAATGTACCTGGCACAAAAGATAAAAAAATATTGATTTCAAAAATAAGAAAACTTCCTACATTGAAGATAACAATGACAAACTTTTGTGTTATCAATATGATCGGTAAATATGAAATCATCAATATTAATGTTTGGGCAAAAACATTTTACACTATTTTAAACAATAAACGCACAATCAGATCTTAAAGAATTAATCAAACAATGTAAATCAGTTTTTTAGACCTAAAAGGAAACTTCATGATGTAATTCGGTAGTTTCATTTAAATTGGACGCTAAAAATTCCATAAAAGGGGATCAATTTGCAAACTAATTCGCTGTTAGAACAACAGGATGACGTCACGATTTTTTAAAAGAATCTGATCAATATACCTAGTTCTAAAGTATCCCCTAGCAACACTAATTTTCATGACGTTGCAATTATATCAATCGTAGTTCTGTTAGTTATTCTAAAAGTCCAGTCCTCAGAAATTAACTAAATAATAATCATACATTTTCTAGATTCGTCTACAATGGTCGCGACATCATCCTGCTTTAGTCCGAGGTAGAAACTCGCCCTTCTAATTATGGCTAGGGGCAACAAACTAGACTGCATAGCGGGATGACATAGCTTGCTAGGCATTTCTAGATTTTTTGTAGACATAGGACTAAAAGACATATGTATTATTAACCTAGAAACTCGTGCACTCTCTGACAAGACTATAGTCTTTACCAGTGACCAAAGAAGATACAAGAACAATGAAAGAGTTCAAATTATGTAACATAATAAATACGCACATGCACGCATAAGTAGCCCTATTATAAGGTAGGCCACTGGGAAAATTCCTACTTTACTTCCATTGAAAAGGGTTACAATAAGTAACATTCATATTAAAACAATAAGACAGCTCTTGTCGCCTGTTTTATAACGATCGCATTTAACTGAGTAACAATGATATACATTATAAATGTTTAATAAGAATTATTGTATGATACAAATGATCCATATAACACGGAACAACTCTTCTATCCGTTACTAAGATGTTTCTTTTTGAAGTAAGACCGTTAATCGTTATTCTAATTCAGAAGTATAAAGGCAATCATCCACGACTAATTTGAATAGCTTCGCATCTACTCAGCTGCCGAAAGTCGTTCAAGTTTATCATGATTTGACATCAACCCTCAAAATTCCCCACCAATAGTGTTATGTAATCCGTAATATTTTTTTATACTTTTGGTAGAGAGGTATGCTATGACCGTCCCTATCTCTGCGACTCTCTGATTTGTGATATTGTTTTCTTACCGCACATAAACGCCATGTTGACAAGTCCTGCCTGGTATGTAGTGAGGTTCAACTCGCACTTGGCTGCCGGCAGCACGTAAGACATTACGCAGTTCTGCACGCCCGTCGTGAAGAATGCGCATGCGCATGCACCCAGCACGCTCCTGCTGAAGCGACCATACCCTGCAATTTAACCACAAACACATACAGGAAACTAGAAAATAGATTGAGTAAGGAACGAATATTATATACAGTAAGGAGCGTCGTACATAAGGCATCGAAAATCTTCGAAATCCGGCGATTTTAGTTGCTAAGTAATGTACGCAATGCAATATCATAGAGGTTCCTACATAGCCACGATCACCGACAATTTTTTCTTTAATCGCAACCTCTTTGGTAAGAACTTTTTGCCAAAGTCGCTGCGACTTTCAAGATGGCAAAGCAAATCTAAAGAGTTGATATGTAGTCGGTATGCTTGTACTGACCGAATAGACGATTCGCGTCGATGATTAAACTTTACAAACATAATAAATACCCATAACTTTCTAATGCTTTTCTGAATTGTTATGGTTATCCACTGGGTTTATATAGTCTACAATATGTTATTATTAGCCATCAATCAATGGAATATATACTAACATTGGGTATTTGGAATGTTTATTTATCATCAGTTATGTTTACGTACGTATGAGTACGGATATTCAGTTTCTGTGACAACAAATAATCTTTTATTAATTAATAATAGATTTCTACAGAAATAATAAGAGAAGAATATTATGAAAAGAAAGGAAAATATAACAATGGGGAGAAATATGAATGGATGGCCCTTTATAATGTTTTAAAAGATACTATACAACATGAAAAAGAATACAGAGGAATATACATTTGCGTATGCAACATTACAGCAAATTAATTCCTTTGAAAAGCAGAGATATTTTTTTTAACAAATGATAAACTATCTCTTGAATCCAATGTGTCTCAGCGAATAGTAAAAGCAGTGGAAGTTTGAATCGAATCTAGCACTGACAAGGAAGCTAGCATACTCGCACATCTGAATCATTTGAACCACAATGAATCGTCGACTATTGAACAATAGCGGAGCAGAGATGTTTACTTAGCCGTGGCATTGTGCGCGACGTACGAACACATCTCAATGGCTGACACACGCCGTCGTACGATTTTGGTTCTTGACAGTTTATTCATCGTAGGACGTATGAATGTTCTATATATTAATAAACATCAACACTGGTAATAAACACGGAATTTAATCATGAGTTTAATTTCCAATAAAACCTTACTATTTCTTACTAATATCAAAAATGTGAATGTTTAGATGGATGAATCTCCAGGACGGCTCAACGGATCTTGCTGAAATTTGGCATAGATGTAGAACATAGTCTTGAAGAACATATAGGCTACTTATTAAATTTTCTTAATTCCGCGAGTACGGAGTCGCGGGCACAGCAAGTTTTTAAATAAATCTCAGATCCATAACAATACGGTAGCGGACAAAGCAAATCGAAATGATAATATCATGTGATGTCCCCCAAACGATACAGACAGTCAAGAGCCCCTACTTACGAACTGTGGCTGCCGCCATCCGACATCCGTCATCCGTCCGGATGCGACACGCTATTGCCAATTTTATTTCCAATATATAAACTAACAGAAATATAAACTATATAAAAATATAATAAAATTATAAAAAAGTGCAGAAAAAATAGATTTAATTTTATTTCTTTAGTATTATTTTTGGAACTCGGTGATTCCTGATAGGATTTTATTACATTTAAAGATGATTTTAAAATTAATTTATTTCTAATTAAATCAAAGTTTTAAAGCGTGTCATTTAAGTAAAAAAAAAAAGTTATTTCAGCAGTTTTCACTGCATCAGTACGTGAAGACATTAACCAATATTTTTATTTCATAGTAACCGTTATACAGCATGTTACATAAATGTAAATTACAATAACTACAAAAACATATTATAGTTTTGTAACAAACTATCGCGTAATGACACCCTTTGCATAACACTTTGCTATGTATCATACCGTATTGAACGAAAAAAAAAATTAAGATATAAGGCCTTATTAAACTTCGTAAGTAATACAATCCAAATGAGCCAAAAGACATATCGTACAAATCGAATGATGGAATTCAACCCACGACTACAAAGTTGGTAATCTGTATCCTCAACCAATAGGCTACTGTCACTTCATTTAATAAATTCTATGAGCAAGGAAGGTCATTAGTCGTAATAAAATATCTATCACTCCTACTGTATTTAATATACTCTTACTATAATATACTGTATAAATACTTATGACTCGTGTGCAGAAACGTCAGCTGTTATTGTGACGTCACACGTAAGCCGACGGTACGTGTTACCGTGGGTTTCCGAGTCCAAAATATCTGTATAAAACGTATCGTCATCCATGATAACACAAAGGTTTTAAATGGAGATTTTGGAAAGGAAGATATCGGCAAATCTGTGCGCGGCTAAAACCAAATTATAATTTAGAAAAGTCTAATAGAAGTATTGGCAAGATCAGTTACAAATAAACGAGGATACCTAAACCGGTGAGCAAGGCGATGCGAACGATTAGTGCTGTCAGAAAATATGTAAACCTACATGGACATTAAAAAAAAGAAACTTGATACAATTTTTGATATTGGCAGGAGGGCGCTAGTGAGTTATCATAATTTAGTTTGACTTGTGACAACCGGGTCATATATCCTTGTCGGTCTATGAAATTATTTAAGAGAACAATGACAGATAATATAAGATAGGGATGATATATATTTGCGAAAAAGCGAAAGAGATAGACACTATCAGAGGTCAGAAAATATTCTATAATATGTCAAAAAACTGAATTCTGAGTTCTGGCCAAAATAACAACATAAAAAATAAATAAATTAATAATCTCCTTTATGAATTCGGTTATTATGGAAATGTTAGAGTTAACACAGGTGTGAGATAATTAGAATTTAGTAGCCCATTTAAAAACAATACAATTATTGTTAATTAGCGAAATGTGAAAGCGTATCGAAAGTATTCATTAATGAATTAGAGGAAATAATATTGATAAAGCATTCAAAATATTTTCTTTTACCTAAATATTAATCAAAATAGTATCGTTTCAAAATAAGTTAATATAGCACAAATAGTTTTCTAGCGGTCGCCAGAGACTAAGTCCGCGCTGAATTAAAAACAAAACAATAGCCTCTGTGTTCTTTCATACTATGTTCTAAATCTGTGTGAAATTTGAACGAGATCCATGCAGCCGGTGAAATGCCATTTAATAAACATCCGCAGTTATAATATTAGTAAGATTAATGCCAGTAGCAGAAATTCGTTTTGAATACTTGCTTTAGAAAGAGTCCATATGGACGAGGGCTTATGCGTCATCATAAAATTTAAGTCAAAAACTATGCTTAATTACCTTAGATGCAAACATAAACTTCCTTGCTTGTTGCTTGTTATATAAACAAAAAAGATAGTAACAAAGTACAAAAGTCTAGAATTGGCCTAACTATGCATCATTTGGTCGTTAGATGTACTAGGTAAGGAACTAAGAGACTGGCGTGACCGGGGAATTGATGGGAAGTGCCTAGTCGCGTAGTAGTCGCGTACGGTGACCTCAATATTCCGAACCAAAGGCACTTATATGAACTGTTTTGAGAAATGACGAACGTTTTTGAAATTATGATGGCTTTAATTTAAAAAAATGACAAATAAAACTGCTTATTTTTTAATAATCCGAACCTCAGTGGGTTAGGCTCCAAACAACCGTGACGGATGGTTTCCTACAGCCGATTGGCCTACCGTACCGGTCTATCGGCCTTCCGTATATGTCAATCGGCCTGTCGTACAGGTCAATCGGCCGACCGTATTAGTCAATCGCCTAACTGCATTAGTCAATCCCCCTTATGACATTTATTTCCCATCGGGTAGGATGATTGTATGTATTCGATCGGCCCAAAAGGGATTTTTAACACCCTCTATAACTGAAATACATACAAATCCAAATTCATGCTTTTAACAACATCTAGGTTTAAAATTACAAATTAGGTCTTCTATCTCACGAAATACTAAGAGTTACGTAAAAATGATCATTGAACTTAACTATCCCGCAGCAGTTCCCGGCTTATCACTGAATTGCTCACATCCCGTTCTTTTGATACATTGCCAAGGGATAATGTACCTTACGTACATCGAACAGTACCGCCATAAGTCAATACCAATGTCAACAAACAACATGAAGTAGACAAACAACCGTAAGGGTTATTATTCCACGATAACCCTTACCTTGGTGCTTGCATTGCATTAAAAAGAAAGGAAAATTTTACACAGTATAAATAAAATATAAAAACTTTCCTTGGTGTTTAAATTTGCTATCGCAAAAAAAACACTATAACCTACGTAGTTAAAATCTTGATGATTGGCAACCTATAAAATCTCATTGTTTTTCAAACTTTCTGTCACAACAGTCTGTCTGTGTTCTGTCTTAAGACCAAAGAGTATAATAAGTATACTATAGAAAGAGGGGCAACTCGCACGAAGTCGTGGATCCACGGCGATTGTGGCGCTCCATGCGTATAATCGCTGAACTAATTTTTTTTTTTTGGTATCTATATACGTAGGCACGCTTATTTAGTTCACTATAATAATAACTGATAAGTGGGAATCTAATTTATGAAATTAAAATTGACATTAAATCAATGTTCAAAAATAATACACCCACTTATCAGTTATTATTATAGTGAGCCGATATCAAGTAGCCTTCTATGAAATACCTCTATTAAAATGATCCTATTATTATTGGGGAAATAAAAACAAAATATTTTTGTATTTTTGTACATTATTTATTATATTTCTACATAACTTAATTTTAAATCTATGCAAGTACATATACATCAATGACTTTCAAGATATCAGCTCAATATTTTAATATTTAATATATATATTTGAAAATTACATTTACGGTAATAAATAGTATAGCGCGGTCACAAAAAAATGCATACCCTGTAATTAAAACCAACCCCCAAAATATTTTCAGTCACATGCAAGCTGGCAACTGGCAATTTGTAGTTATTTGCGAGTTTAAACACTCTGAACATATTCTCTTACAACATAGGCAAGCAGATTTTTCTTTACAATAAAAAATTACAAATAAAAAAATATATTTTTTACATATACACACATGGACCCACCTACTAATTTCAGACACATCAGTTTATGGCTCTATAATTCCAGTGATTGGCACACATTTTCTGAACTTCACTGACCTTCTCTCAGGAAGGGGGAAACCGTGTATATGTGCACCTACAACAAACAAACAGAATGTGATTTCCTGTCAAGTATAGGAACTGATATGTAAAATGTATTAGAAGTAGGGCACCATTCAATATGATAACCGGAAAGTATAAATCACTGTGGTGCTAAAAACTACACCAAAATACGAAAATATTTAAATGTTTAAATGAGACTGACGTATGGGAATAACATGAAAATTTTTATTGAATTGTAACTTACCATAATCAGTCCATCTAAAACACAGTTGCATACAGCGTCGTTTTTCACGAAAACACATTTTAATTAAAAACAAAATGAATGAAACAACATTTAACTAAGAATACAAGAACAGAAATAGAAATACGAAAAAACGTAGCGGTTTGATGACACATGAATGTCTCGATGACAGAAATGATGCTTCTTCTCAGCCATGAGATGAAATGATGTTTACGATTATATAAAAGGTGGCGCCACTTTCCATACAAACCGTCGTTCTTCTAAGTTTCCACCCCCTGCTTAAGACATTTATTTTAAGCAACGCACATATACCCTATTCTTATCGTTTTTATATTCATTCCAGAAATGTAAAAATTAAAAAAAAATTAAAACCAAACATCGAAAGGCATGTAGACAACGAGGAAATTAAACGCACAGTATTCTTCCAAATCACATTTGGATTACCGTGGGTTCCAAAGACCTAAATCTCTATTTTGTAATTTCTCTTTTTTTTCAAAGATAATGTTAGGGATAACGATATGTTTAACACAGAGTTTTCGATCTCAGAAACCTACTATTAGTGATGTAATTGATGCTAAATGGTTTGCTGAAACAAACTAAATCCTTCTTAGGATGACAATAAAATAGGATTCACTTTAGTTCCGTTACATTTCACTTCAGTGACTAGTCACTGAAGTGAAATGTACCCTCTAACCTGACCCTGTAACCTCTAGAGGTTTAAATGTAGATTATTTTCAAACATGCCATTTATTATAATAATTTTATTTTTAAAGATATAACATTCAATTGATAATACATTTTTTAAAGAGAAAAAGTGAACGAAGTGAAGTTTTTTTTCACCTAAGACTACGTAGGTTAGTGTTTCTAGGTTAATTGGTAGAATCGTCGGCTAGCTAGCGTTTCCGGGCGGCATCTTTCAATTGACTACCGCAATTGATCTATACCTCTACTTACTGCTTTGATGATCAATGAAAATGCCAAATTACTTACGACTATTTTACCAATATTATAAAGGAGAAAGATGCATGTTTGTTGGAAGGTATCAGGGATCCGGCTAAATTTGGCATAGACGTAGAACATAGTCTGAAAGAACTCGTAGGCTACAATTCCGCGCGGATGGAGTCGCGGGCGACAGCTAGTTGAATAATAACATAAAAGGATTTGTTTATAGTCAATCTTAAATAGATTAGCCATAGGTTTTCTTGAGGGCAATATGTTTTTGTACAAGTTTTTCAACGTTTGTTGTGTTGAAAAAATTTATTCACTTTCCTACACAGATTTACCTTAATTTAATATTGTATCCTGTACACTTATCTCTTGATCAAAATGTACATGTTAAAAGGTACTTTCTAAGCCATTACACGACGAACAATAAATCTGTTTATACTTGCGACACGTTCCCATCGCGACGTAATTGTTTTAGTTATAAGGTAAGCTAGAATTGATGTCTAAGCTAGAATCATGTCATAATTCATAACAACACGTGGACAAATCATATCTATTAATTAATAATGCTAAAATCATTTATGATCGCATGTATAGATGTTTTTAATAACAATGCACAATGACCTCGATGTGTCAAAAAATTTATAAGAAGATTGTAATTCAAATGCTTATAACCTATTTTGCTGCCTCTATTTTTCGGTTACCAAGCAATGACGTTATTATGAATCCCCGGAGTTCATGCAAAATCTTATTGGGGACATTTTTTTATATCATATGGTGGCAAACGAGCGAGCGGCAACCTGAAATCGCTGAAATAGCGAAGTGGCCGTTGCCCATAGACATATGCAATTGCATATGCGTTGCCTACCTTTAATCGTCGGAGGAGAGAACACAGAAAGAAAAAATATTTTCCCTTCCCATGCATCCTTTCATCCGGAAATTCCACTTCCACTTCCCATCCTTTCCTTATAAGAAAAAGGGTGTGGAGGGAAAGAGGACTAAATTAGGCCTCCGGGACGCACACTCATCAGACGAAACGCGGAATTGCTTCTGTATAGTTAACTGACCTGCTAAATCCAGAGCAGTCTCATAGTCGGCCACGCCTTGCGCTTGATCCTGGCTGTCACTGCCCACGGTCCTGTGTGTCGCTGAAACAATAAATTTATTTAAATACAATTTTTTTAACTACCTGTTGCCCGCAACTTCGTCAGCGGGTATTAAAAAAAAAGCCATGTAACTCCCGCATACGGTAGCACTTTCCAATAAACTCCCGTCAAAATTAGTTCAGGCGTTTCCGATATTACCCGGAACAAATGCACAGATAGACAGACATAAACAAGAATAGTCGATGCGCAAGTTAATAAGTAGAATAGGCATCTGTAAGCCTTCTCACACGTACTTCGTATACTCTATCTAGAGGTAAAAATCTATGGTTAAAACAAAAGAACGGCATAGTCCCGCCCGTTATAAAAAAGGCGACTGTATAAAGGTTGCTTTATTATTAATATAAACGTAGAATTACCTTCAAATAACATTTGAATTCGTTATTATTGTTATTGCCTGGCTCATTGAGTCTGCCTTCAATGTTTCACATTTCTATTTCTGACGCATGTTGATAATTTTCATTTGTTAATTTTATGTATTACGTTAAATATAACTTTACAAGCATTCTTTTTAAATTGTTTAGCTCGTAAATAATAGTAAAGGTTTTTATGACGAATGTATAATAATTTGACGTAGATTCGTCTCTAGTTGAAAAGTTCCTTGCATATTTTCAATTTATTGATTTTTTTAACCTTATTTTCTATTTACTTTTATGTTTATTTAGTAGGTTTGATGAAAGCTATAAAATAGGTAATTTTTGATTTTTTATCTTAACGGAGAATTTTTTTGTTAACGACGATGTTTGTCGCCATCTATAGACTAGCCGACTTCTAGAGCTTGTAACATGATATACGAGGTTTCCTCGGGATAGACATGCGTGCAGGATTCAAAATCTAGGAATAAATATAGCTTATGTTACTCAGTGATTTTGTAGCTTTCTTATGGTAAAAAAATGAAATAATTGAAGTAGTTTTAAATTTTTCTTCTTTATAATATTTCAGTATAAATAATCCATTTTTTAGCTACACAAGTGTCAATTTAAAATTGGCATCGCTCATACAAAATACAACCATAAAATCAAAATAAAAGAATTTCCCTCTAATCGGGTAAATGAGAAGATTAAAAATTTCGTTTACATTACAATTTGAAAACCGTTGATGATTTATTTGCCGTGAAATTTAGTTGTGCATTTGAAAATGAGCACGTTTATGCGAGTTTCGAGGTTTTATCGCGTTTTATAAGCGGCTCGATAACAACTCTTTGTGCCGCAATCGCCAACGACAACATACCACTGCACAACAGCACTGATGTAACAAACAGGGTGCTTTATTTTCAATAAGTAATTAGTTAATTGGGGTGGATTGGTTAGCTATAGCTTGGATAACACTATTATTTTCCCCCAGTAGCTTAGTCCCTAGAAACAATATAGATGCAATGAGGCCTATTGCAATCAATCTTACTAATATTATAAATGCGAATGTTTAAATGGATGTTTGTTAGATCTCCGAGACGGCTGAACGAATCTTGACGAAATTTGGCATAGATGCAGAACATAGTCTGGAAAAACCCATAGACTACGTATTAGGTTAATTGTCGCAGGCGACAGCTATTGTAATCTATAACAGTTAATATTCTGATCTACATTCTAGTGTAGTCTAGTCTAGTTCAGACTTGGAACAAGGAACACGAGGAACAGAAATGTTGCTAAAAAGTAAGAATCGCCGACGAAATAGGAAAATCCGTAGACAAACTTTACGGAATACTGGCTATAAAATAATAATGTCAATCTTAATCTGTTAAAATGAGTGTCACCTGTTCTGAAAACTATCGATGTACCATATCAATACGTAAAAATAATGAAAAAAGAAAACACTGGCATTGTTCTTTGGAAATAAACAATTTAGCTGGCAGGTTTCGCTCGTCCCAGGCAATCATATTTGCTTTTAATTTAGTGGTTTAGTAAAGTTATAGGGTAGGATCACTGTATCCCGTATCAGAAATGTGTCTAAGAATTATTCAGTTGGCCGCAATTGGAAATGTTTTCCACACCGGGCTCACAAACTTTTTTTTCACTTTAAAGACATTGATAAATATAAAAAAAAATTGCACAAATTTCTTTTATATTTATAAATGAAAATTTTAAGAATTAATAAATACTTCTCATTTAAGATTTTTTTTGAGAAAAATCAATTTCAAAATTTAGTTATGTTATGAACAGCGCAATAATTTGAAAATCAGTATAAAAAAAAATAATAGCGTATTTTAATTTTCTTGAAAAATATTATTTCTCTTTTTATATTAAAAATAAAAAAAAACACTTACGAGTGCCATCGCTTGGTGCAACTTTACAAACCATCTTGATATACACAATTAAATATTTATATTTATTTCACAGGCATTCGTATTCGAAGCCGGGACGTGAGGGAACAACACAACCTCCACATGCAACCGCGCGACATGCACTGACCGTGGCATTGCCCACATCAACTGAACTGAACGATGGTCACTCACCACTCCGACTGTCAAAACAATATACATACTGAAAGTTCTGAAAAAATACTGAAAAATCTGAAAACTGAATTTCAGGTGGCCGGCCATATTTTGTTTTATTTTCTTAACTAATTATAAAAAAAAATCTTTGAAACAATGTAAAAAATACTGTGCCTATTATATTTTATAAATCAATAAATAAAAGCTTTTGTTTCAGAAAGTAAGCCAGGTCATATTTTATTGAAATTCTTTGGCATTCTATAGAAACTAGTGCATATTGGCAATGAGTCATACAATTTTAAAATTTAATTCCATACATTTTTGACTTTTATAGAGATATCACTAAACGAATGTGTATTACGAGAATTCAATTTTTCTTCTATCCATAATATTGTCATAATCATGCGCCTGCACATACACCAACGTCTGTTGTCAAGTTATTTACTGGCTAAGTTACTCGTCTTATGTAAGTTATAACTTGATGATTAAGTTGAGTTAAGTGAACGCAGGTGACCTGCGATGGCGCCTCACAGACATCAACAACCTCAGCAAAAACTAGTTCCCTCTGGATTTAGAATGAAAATCTGCTCCTAAGAATACATCAGGCGTAACTACAAAATGCAAAACTTAACTTATCTACCAATTTAATGAAATTTGATCCTTATTTGGCGGGAATAAGTTTGTATTTTGCATCGGCAATGTTTGCTATTAAAGACATTTCTATTAAATTTATTGCAGGCGCTATTTTAAGATAGCTATTTCTAGCTTCGAACGTTTAGGTTATTTATTTACAAAGACATCGTTAAACTTGTAATTAAACATACCTTGACTTCTAATTAGCAACATTTACGCGTATAATTAATTATAACATCGTTTATAGGGAAAGTGTTTAAAAGTTTATTACTGACTAGCAGTTTCTCGCGACTTCATCCGCGTGGAATGAAAATATCTCGAATTAAATACAGTCTATGCCTTCCGGGGTTAGTAAAGCTGCACATCAATATAAGAATTTTCCAAATCGATTAAGTAGTTCCGAAGTCAGTAAGAAGTAATGCAAAAATCAAAATATTTGAATAAACCTTAGTATTAAGGAGTGTTTTACACATAAACATAAGACGTAACTGTATTTTGAATCCTAATTCCTGTTTATTTTATTCTAACTTACCAATTTCATGTTTATTTCAAAGTTATAATCGCTACAAATGCATTAAAAATTTAAAAATCATTAATTTTCAAGCAAACATAATTACATAAATAGAAGTATTATTACGTTAACTTATTTCCCCTGCATTTACATTTCAAACACATAACTTTATAACAGTCTAGCCGATAGGTGGCGCCAGCAACTAAATATAAGACTTCAGACACACGCTGATGAAATATCGCGACAGTTGTCGTTGGTGTGACACCACCTTAATGTCTGTGTTCTTTTGTTGCATACCACACAACTGGATACGTTTAGAGCTATTCCTAGAATAGACTCCGTATCAAAGTCTAGAATCTTAATTGTATTTAAAATTATGTGACATAATAATATACGAGTAATTTGCTTTTATAGCACTTATAAAATTATTTTCTAACTTAAATGGGAAATAAAATCTCAAGAAAAGAAGGTCATTTCAAGCTTAACGATCAAATACATTCAACACATTTAACAGTGGACAGAACAACACAAACTTGAACGCAAACCGTAGAACGTTATCACTCGGTACTAAATCTTATTTGACACACCTGAAGTTTCATAAGTTTGGTTCTGTCTTCATTATTTCCGAATGTCCGTTTTATAACTACACCCTATGTATTCTTCCAGACTACGTCCTACATGACAAATTTCATCGAGATCTGTTAAGCCGTTCTAGAGAAACCTTCTTATAAACATCGATCCATACATCTGAACTTTCCCAATTATACTAATTAATTTAAATTTGAAATAAGAATAGTTCTTTTCGCTGCCTATACCATTTTAATAGACTAAGACTTAATATTTCAAACATCGTAAACGGGTCGTAAATAGCACCGGCGCTGCGCGGCGCGGCGCCTGGCGATATCTCCGTACTTTCACTCTGCGTCCAGTAAATGATTATTAAAATCACATTACACACAAATGAGATATGTCCAGAGATCTATGAACATTTACAAGTAGACTTCGTATACTAAATGACTACCTTTCATGAACGAGTATCTAAGGATCGCTGCAGCTCAGTAGTTAGGCTGTACGTTCTTAGATTTATTAAAAATAATCAAAAAAATTATTATCTAAATAATTTTATGTTATGTGGGCTTTCTTTTCGTTGTCTAGTCCTACTTCTTCTTTTCTTACTAATATTATAAATGGGAATAGACGATGTTTTCCTTCACCATAAGAACGTCGGTTAAATGTGCAGTACCTGGATGACCGAGCTTAGCTCGGTTTTTTTTTAATTGTGTTTTTTGGAAATTATATTTAAGTACGAATTACTAATAAAATGATGAAATATGAATAATATTTTTCGATCTTGCCGATAGAAAAAGTTAAGTTTATGTTTAAGTTGATTATCGATAAAACACGAATAAAATGACATTTTCTAAAAATGATCCCTAGCTAGATCGATTTATCGCCCCCGAAACCTCCTAAATACAAAATTTTATGAAAATCGTTCGAGCCGATATATATGAAATCGTATATATATACAAGAATTGCTCATTTAAAGATATAAGATATGTAAATCTAAAATTGAAAACCACATTGCTACATGGCGGGAAACGAACTTGGGACCTATAGATTACAACTTCAGTGCTTAACCCTTGAACCACCGACGCTCTTTTTGGCAGATTGCGTGCTTCATATAATTCAATGAGACCTAAATCGACGTTAATTTTAAACAGTTTTAGGTCATTCAGACATAACGGTACATTATTGATTAAAGATGTTCACATAATAAAGGCAATATTTAAACTGTTTTTAATGTTATAAATTACTGCATTAAATCGATTCGATATTTTTTTTACAAAAACCCCTTCTTAAGTAAAACTCAACCAATATTAAGATATAATTTTATATACCTATATAGAGAGAGAGGATATAGAGACAAAAATATTAAGCAGGTTAACTGCAATAACGTACTGTGTAAAAACATGTTTACTTAATCTGAAAAAAAACATATTTCCTTTTCCAATTCATATCCTGTATCGAGTCCAGCTCTCCTACCCATTCTGTCCTCATTATAAAAGTATGGGAAGGGACTCCAATAAAGTTATAGTTATATTGATTAACATAAATTACTCGTAGTCGTTAAAATCTTAATTTATTTATATAATTATTTTTTTTTTGTATATGAAATGCAAAAGCTTTATTGTCTAAACTGAGTTATTAAAAAGACACGCTAAAAGAAAAACTTTGATACGCTAACAATACAACCTCATCAGAACGACTGAAAAGTAATTTAAAATGTTATATTCAAAAAAGGACAAAATGTATAAAACACCGTATCCCGGAATCGAATCCCTCAGGAGTCGAGGCTCCGGCACTGACCGATGACCGTGTGCTGTGTACAGTCAAGTCATAAATCAAATTCTGTATGTACATGTAACGTGAAGGCACACCTTGACTTTGAACCTGGACTGTTGCGCACAAAAGTGTTATCGAAATCATTTTTTTTTAATTCATTCAAATTTTTTTTTTAATAAATTCTTGATTTAAATTTAAATTGAACGTAATCAAATAAAAATAGTCTAATTGTCAAAACAGAAAGTAAAAGTGTACTTTATTAATTTTATTGTTAAATAAAACTCTCAACTCTAAAACATGACTGGACGTATACAAGTTCTTCTTTCTGTCTCCATTAGAACGAAATTAAAACAATATGAATTTAAAAATTGCACGTATAACGTACTTTCTTCCACGACAGTACACTGTTGGATGATTTCGAAGAAACAAAAGTAAGGATCAAGTAATTTGCGTGTCTGTGTTTGAGCCCGCGCCCCCAAAAATGAACATGCGTTACTTGACTTCATACTTGATGAATTTAACGTACAATCCCTGAGGTAAGGGCAGCACCAGACTTACTGAAAACGCAGCGTTTTGTCGCGTTCCGTGCGTACCCATCCGTATATATGTCCAGAAACTTCACAAGTTTTATAAAATATTTCTTTTGCCGTGTAAATACGTACCTTTAAAATGTATTGTTACTCACATTAGAAATAAGACATTATTACTGTTGGACCTCTAACAATTGCATTGATAAAGGACCTTTCAATTCAGGGTCATAATGATGAATGTGAAATATAACAATGATTTATCCACACGGACCTACAATATCGATTGTACTTTACAACAATTAAAAATGGTGAATCCATTATCTTCATACGTCAAACACAATATCTTTTACGTTAACATAAAAAAAAACAAATGTGTACGTCCTTTCCTGGCAAGGTTTTATTTTTCTTAAGGCAATTTCAGAACATTTTTACGTACCGATAGCTCCCTAAGCAAGTTATTGTAACATAACCTAAAAACAGGCCCAAGGTCTAATTATTAACTGATATAGTCCTAAATATTGCTAAACTTAACTTGCAAAGGCACTTGGCCATAGCCCGAATAATCAAGACCCTCCCACAAAATTGAATCAAATCAATTTCGAAGTGGAATCGAATAGAGCACGTAACTAATCCGGTTGTGTGAATACACCTTAAATTTAGCGTAAGGTAACGGACAATATTCGGCGTTTAATTTATCGTCGGGCGCGTCGGTTCAGCGAAGCGCGAGTCAGACAGACACACGCACGACTTTTTTATTTAATGTCATTGATGCATGGAAGAGATGCATCTTGTATCGTGAAAGCTAAACTTATCCGTTATCGTATTTACTGGCGTATTTATTTATAGAATTCAGTTGTGTTTGTTGCTAAGCGGGAAAGCTTTCCGAGAAAAGATGAATTACGATTTATTTGCGATTCTTCATAATTTAATTGTTTATTATCATAGTCGTCAACAGCTTGTGGTACGCATCAACCTACTA